TTTTAAGAAAATTTAAGTTTTGTTTTAGCAAAATTTTGGTACAAGTGATCGTCGGGAAGAGTTAGTAAATCGGGTCCCTACATAATGCTTAATGATTAAGAATTAAATATGATTAATTTATAGCATATAATTACATATTAATTATTATTTTATCAAATATAATAAAGAAACTATTTTTTAGCTTAAAAAATCTATAATCATCATAATTTATTAACTTGTAAAACAAAAAAAAAATGCTCTTTAAAAAACTTTTTTTTAGATACTATTAGTATTAGAAAAATATTATAATAACAATAATAACAGACTCCATGAAGTTACAAGCAAATTAAAAACTATTCTAAATAAGAATATTAAAAGTCAAGAAAAAGAACTGTTATCTCATCAAGATATTTAAGATATTATTAATTATTCAATCTAATATATTATTTAATATGAAAGTTATTTAAATTGTTAAAAATTGGTTAAATGATGTTATATATCTTAACAAAATTTGGTATAAAAAGATAAGTTAATTACTAGAATCTGCAATAAATTTTTGTTTGTAGAATTTAATATCATATTTAAATTTGAGATTTATAGCAAATTAAGGAAATACTTTTTATAATTCTTTTTTTTTTTTTTATTACTACAGATCACAAAAATACACATATTTATAAATGTATAAGCCAACTAACCAGCAAATATAAATTATGAAAATACAATTATAATTTTTGTGAACTTGTAGCTATATTGTAAAGAGTAAATATTTAAAATAATTAAAGAATATCATTTCATTTTCAGAATATTGAATAATAAGTAATTTACTAATAACTTATTTACTACTATAGAATGATGTAATTATTAACAAAATCAATTAATATACAGTCAAACCTCTCTATAATCACACACTTGGGATATGAAAATGCGTGATTGTAGAGAAGTGTGACAGTTATAGAGGTCAAATTTATTATACAGTCAAACCTCTCTATAATCACACACTTGGGATATGAAAATGCGTGATTATAGAGAAGTGTGACAGTTATAGAGGTCAAATTTATTATATTCAATAATAGTCCGTTTTTTAAAAAATATGCTTATAAAGAAAATGTGCTTATATAGGAGGTGACTATAGAGAGGTTTGACTGTATTAGTTAATATATTATTATTTAATTTATACAATTTTAATATTTACTATCAGTATTATTAAATCACATCACTGGTGTTTAATACTAAAATAAGTTTTATTATAAGCTACAGTGTAATATAAAGATCAGATATAACATAAATTTTTTAGTTTTTTTAAAAAAAAGAGTATAGCTCAAAATTTCATCTATGAAACCACCTTTTAAGTTCTAATAAAAAAAATTCTTTGCAAAATTTTGGTATAAACTAAGCCCTACTTTATTTTAACTTTTAACCCTAACCCTAATCTTAATCAAAATTTCATTTTTGTTTTGATAAAAATTATTTTGATCTATATATTACACTGCAGCTTATAAACAAAATTATAGTGGTGTTGAATATCACAGGTGTGATATATAGTTTTTGTTTACTATTATTACATAGTCAAATTACTTACAATGGTAAATAATATATAAATAAAGAATTTCTTTATTTTATTAAATTTAGAAAATATAATGTATAAAAAAAAAGACAAGAGAACCATTTCTAATATCTCCTCAAACTTTAATACTTTACAGTGTTCTAGATAACCATCAGATAAGCAAGGTGTAAAAGCCAATAAATATAAATTATCCAAACTGACTTTGCTTATACCAGCCTTGTTGTCTGTATCAATATCATCTACTTTTTCAATTACAACTACATTAGTTTCATCTATATTAGCATCATCTGCATTGACTTTATCTTCAACAACAACTCTTGCATTACTATTATCAACTAAAAAAAGAAAGATTAACTTTCAAGAAGAAGTAGGTTATTTCATTTTTTTATATATATTCTATTAGTTATAAAATTATCTAATATAATCTAATTTTATATAATATAGCCTTAAGTCATCATTCAGCCTTCTCTATTTGCTACTTCTATATATAAAAAAACTGCTAAAATTTCAAGTTTATAATTTTTTTTCTTTTTTTTTTTTTAAAAAAAATATATATAACATATTTTTTAACCTATTATATATATTTTTTAATAGCTCAAGATATTTCTAATCAACATACTTTAACTAAGGTTCTAAGTACTACACAAACCAATTCTGCAAAGCTTGATTAGTTTTGTAGAAACTATGTAAAGCTCGAATATTTAATTAGAGAACAACAAATGCAACTTGAAGAAATCTTAAAAAAATTTGATAATACTAATAAATTTAATAAATGTAGAAGTAAAAGTAAAGGAAAAAGCTTTTAACAAAATTAAAAATAATTTTCTTCAGGTATAGATATTTTTTATTTATATTAATAATATTGTCTATTAATATCATTATATATATTACTTTATATATTACTATACTGTATTAGGGTGTAGTCAAACAACTAGCATATGAGTTATTCTATAACTATATACAAATTAGCAATAAACAAATAAAAAAACAACTTCAAGATATGTTGAAAAGTGATAATAAATGTGCAGAACTACTGCAACAATTAAAGTATACAGGTATTATATATAAAAAGTTGTGGAATAACAAATTATATTTAGAAGTAGACTATCTTTATCCAACTTTCTTTAAATATAAATATTGCTAAGTAAAAGTAGAATTTTAAAATCAATTATATTTTGTACTAGGTATAATCTCTAATTAGAGATTAATGTCTAGTACAAAATATAATTAATTCTAAAATCCTACTTTCACTTGAAAGCTTTATATAAATATTAATATTAATTATAAATATATATTAATTTTATTTAATGTATACAGATACTTGCAGCAAATAGATTAAAAAAAGAATACTATATTAAATACATCAAAGAAAAGTTATAGAGTATCTTTAGAATTATTAAAATTAAACTATTTAGTAAAAATAATATAAAAGCACAAATGAAAAATTAGAAAAAAGATTTCAAGAAAGCTTATAATAATTTGTATAACTCTAGTGATCTGTCTAATCCAAATTCTAAAATATTTCTTTTTTTAATTATTAAATATGTCTTTGTCTCTAAAGATGAACGAACTGAAGCTAATGCTATTTAGACACAAGCAGTTTTTAAAGTTATCTTTGATGAGGAGTACTTTTTACCAAAAATTGATTTAAATACTGTTAATGTATAGATTTAGAAGCTTTTAAATAATAAAGAAAAGAATAATAAAAATGTATATATATATCTATATTTATACTAGTTATTTTTTAAGCAATTTTTTTATTTTTTTTATACTCATATATATTCTTTTATTATATAGATATTACAGAAAGACCTCTTTAAATGCACTTTCTCTAAATACACTCTCTATGTAAAATCTTTTTAAATGTATAGTTTAGTCTAGTCCTAGCTTATAATAGTATTATATATTTTGCTCTCTATAAATATATATCTCTCTAAGTACACATTTTTAAAATTTTTTACTATAGTCCTGAGGAGGTGTATTTAGAAAGGTCTCTCCATACTTTATACTATATTTATTATTATTTTTAATAGTTACTTATTTATATACTGTTTTATTTATAATATTATATTTTATTAGATTGTATAATATTATTAAAAACAAAGTAATAAATCATATTTAGTAGAGCTAATAATTTTCTGTAATAAACAATATTAATATTAGAAGAATTTACAAATAAGCTTAATAGGTAATTCTCTAGTTATTTGGTTTAAAATTTTTTTTTTCATATATAAATTTTATTATAAATGCGAATATACAGTATTTCTATTTAAAACTTTTTATAATACTAAGTTAATCATCTTTTTGACTTAAGAGACTTTTGTAAAATATATCTAATAGTGGTTAAAGCATTAAAATCGGCTTGGTGAATACCAAAATATCTTTAAAAAATCTTTCTTTTACTATATAAATTTCTTTACAAACAATATATTATTTGCAAAGAAATTTATATAGAAAAGAAAGGTTTTTTAAAGATATTTCAGCATTTACCAAGCTTATTTTAATACTTTAACTACTATTAGATATGTTTTAATAAGCTTTACAAAAGTCTCTTAAGTCAAAAAGATGATTAACTTAGTATAAAAAAAGTTTTAAATAGAGGCATTGTGTATTCGCACTCATTATATTTAAAAAAAAAATTTTGAACCTGATAACTAGAGAATCATCTATTAAATTAAAAATAATATATATAAAATCTAATTTTAAAAAATATTATATATAAAAGCCTAAATCTATTGATAGCTAGAAAAAACAGATTACAAAAATACTATAAGCTTATAATGATAGCAAAATTATGATTATAAGATTATCAATTGATTTATTATAAATATTTAGAGATATTTATATACTAATTATTAGATAAAAGAATAAATTTTGCAAAATTATTTATAAGACAAAGTTTCAACAAAGTAGCTTTTTAAAGCTAAATAAATATTTTCTAAATTAGTAAATATTATACCAATTTGTAATATTTACTTAACATCATAATAGTTTGTTATAAAAATAAGCAATTTTATACAAAAAAAATTAAATTTATTAAATTTAAAATTTCCTTTTTAATTATTGTTATATTTTTTTATAATACATATATATATTTTTTTAAGTATTAAGATAACCTCTTTGGTCTAAGAACTCTTTATTAGTAATTATTTGTTATTATAGTTACAATGAAGATACAACTAGCTACAGTATACTTATTTAAGTAGTCTATCTGCAGGGAATATACTAGATGTTGTATCTATAACTCAACTAGGGAGTTATCTATTTAAACCTTCTAATTCTAACTATTCTCAAACATATCTTACTAACCAGAGAACTACTAACAGCTTATTCTACTAGATTGTACACCCTGCCTTAGGACTTCTTGTAGCTTATTCTGGGTTTGCACTGACTAATTATCAGCTTGTATTCCTTTTCAAGTGAATATACAGACTATTCTCAAGATAAATCTACCAGAGCTTTCCCTATTCCATTTGGGCCAACCTGGTTTTTGTGCAGTTGCCAAGGCTTCTACTCACAGTTGGGATTATTTTTATTTAACCACTTTTGAACTTATAAGGTTCACACCTAATCCTAGTACCCACATTCAAACTTTTCTTTTTTTTCGCTATTTCTTTATTAGTCTATCTCTTATTTCCAACCAGTGACCCAAAGATTTGATCTTGGCTTGGCATTAAATACTGGTGCTCTTATCTTATCTTGGTATATAATTTACTAGCACATATTCTTTTCTCCAATTTGGTAAGCTGGTTCATTAGACATATCTAGCATTTTTCTATCAGTTATCTGACTTCTATAACCCCTAGTTTTGGTGGGTAGGGCCTCCACTACTGGTTTTTCACACCAGTTGGCCAGGGTTGATGTACTTCATAATGCTTCACAGATTTTTAACTTTCTAAATTGGCAGTTAGGTTGGCAAATCTTCCTACTAAAAAATCTTGTTATTGTTTAGTTTTTCAATCTTAGTTCTAATTTTTAAATTCAGGTTTTTTCTGTAATACTATTAAAGATCATGGCTACTTTTTACTCGTGTCTTCCCAAACAGGTTTTGATTATCCCAGTTTCTTGGCTTTTTATGTATCAAAGCTCCTATATAAACATGGTGTCACTGAGATTACAGGTTCTAGGACCTAATTGATCAACAAATAATTATTATCATAATACAAGCTTATTTTTCAAAATTGTCATCCATAGAATTCAAACTTTGGATCTGCTATTTAGTAGGGTGATGACTAGACTACTTCACTAAGCTGCTACATCCTTTAATGCTTATATTTCTTATAATAATAATCATACTATAAATATAAATAGTATTATAGTTATTTTAGGCTTTTATATATAATATTTTTTAAAACAATTATTTAAAAGACATCTATAGTATTTTAGCTAGTGATTGGACTTGTCAAAAAAAAGCCACCTGAGTTACCTGCAGGTAGATGCATGAATTACCCAGGTATAACCCAAGTAGGTTAAAAAAGCAACTCATCAGATGGATTTGTAAATCACCTAAGTAAAAATAGAGCATTATAGCTGTTTTTATAAATTTTAGAGCAACTAAAAAAATTCTGATAACCAAATTAATAAGCTTCCAAAGTTGGTTACTTATTGATTTAAACTTGGTAACTTATCAATTCAGTTATTAGCAATTTTTTACTTGTTTTAGAATTTATAAAAATAGCTATAAAAATAAAATAGTAATTTTATTTAGATTAGTTAGAAATTTACCAAAAATTTATTGTTTATTATGCTTAGTAAAAATATAAAAATAATTCTTGAGCAACCTTTATCAATAGTAAGTTTTTGAAAAAAAAAGATATTACAGATTTTATTTATCAAAATGCTAATATTTAAAATTTTATCTCTAATTTATTGAATAAGTGTCTAGTTTAATATAAAACCTATTTTAAATTTTTTTTTTAAAAAAAAGAAAGGCTGTTAATATACTTACAAGTGTATATTTGTATTAAAGTTGTAATTATTATTTACAGGTCACCTGTTGGTGACCTACTTGCTTCTACCCAAATGGTCAATACCCAATCTAGATTATTCATCTACTCATAAATGATCCAGATAGCACCTATTCAAGTCCAATTACTAGTTTTAATACTATATATAATTGTTTTTAATAGAATTAGAGTTAAGATTCAGGTA